TGTTTAACAGCTCATACACCTACTAAACACCAAACCACATACTAGTTGTCAAAACAATATTAAATTAAATGATAATGATAATATTAGATTAGATTCAACTTTATTGTCAATGCACAAATACAGGTACTAAGCAACGAAATGCAGTTAAAGTGCAAAGCAGTAAAGTATGTAATATGTGTGAATGTTCACATAATGTAATATATGTTTAAATGTAAAACCATTGCCTCTTTCATACCTTCCACTTCTTTTGGTAACAGTCACATAATGCCACTGGTCATCATTATACTGTTTGTTTGATTTCCAGATCCCGTTGTTGAAATTGAGAATCACATAGCCATTTTCCAATGCAATACGCATCCCGTTAGTCTGGAAAACAGAAGAAATAAAAGGTTTTAAAGTTCCGCTTGTTGTCTCACACTAATCTCAATCTCTATCTCAATAGTCACAATGAAAAAATCACATTTCAAAATAAATGAAAGGACTCACCAGAATGAGACCCTCTTTCTCTTTGCTCTTGAATCCAAGGGAGACAGCAACTTGATCATTTCCCACACTAAAATCTTTGAGGTCAGCTGACAGGTAGCTCCCCAAGCTGAACTCTGCTTTACGATTAACCTAGAAAAGAACATTATACATCAGTTAATAACTTGACACACATAAGCCTGAGTGTGGTTGAGCAGTGACATAAATATTGGTAACGGGTCTTGGATGCAGAGGTTAACGTTCCTACCAAAGACTCCGGGCGACAACCTTTGCTGATGCCCACTCTCTCAGCAATAGCTTTGTGGGAGCCAGCCACAGTCAAACTCTTCAAGCATCCTTTGAATGGCTGCATGGTGATGTTATCTCTGTGAGGAGGAACAGAAAATGTATAAAGTTATTCTCGATTAACTCCTTTTCACTCACAGCACAAAATGTTTAAGAGAAACACTGATAACCACGTACCTTTCCCTCAAGTCTTGTGGGGCACCGCCAATATAGAATTCTTTAAATTCACTGTTCTTGTACTTAGCTGCAACTGTGGTTGTTTGACCGTCCATCCGCACAATCATGCTTGTGTAATTTCTACTGATGATTTGGATTTCTCTGAACTCCTTCGTCTAAAAAAAGGATAGAGTAGCAACATGGGGTTGAATAAATGATGTTTTATTTACTAATCTAATTAGTAATGGTAATTGTCAACAAAGAACCAAAGTGATTTCAAAAACATAAAGAAGCTTCTTACCGGGAACATTTTCATGTCACTTATAGTTGGTACTGGAAGCAAATTACCACGTAGGACAATAAAGCCCTTCTCCAAGGTCACAGTGAAGTAATTGTCCTATGTTGAAGAGGAAAGAGTAGTCAAATTCTTGAAAATGGTACATGTAATTCTCATCAAAACATTTATAAGTAAGTAATAAGTAACCATATGAAGAATAATTTACCTCACTTCCTATGTAAAAGAGCAGACCGTTTTCTGACCGAGTATCGACGTTCATACTGATGACTAGTGTGTTAGCCGGTTTATCTATAACGACTTTGCCGTATCCAGTGCCTTCACAGTAGTCAGAATCCACTACATTTAAATATCTGGAAAGAGGGGAGAAAAATAATATTTAAAAGAGCTCACATAGGGATAATAAAACACGCTGACAAACGCCAGTAAAAAGCTACAACCAACCTGACCTACATATCTTAGTGAGGAAACACCCAGATCACTACAGGAAGTCCACAAGAAAACAAGAAACCAATCATATGACCACCACAGACAGGATCAGTGCCAAGTGTAAAACAGCTTGGTCAGCTCAGCTCGGGTCATAGCAATACAATGAACAACGTATGTAACAATGTAATGACAACCTGTTTTTTTTTTTGCTGCATGTTGAAATAATGTCACAGGTTGACATGTTATTACAGAAGATGCATAGAAGCATGTTTATGGTTTAAAAAAAGAAAAAAGAGTTTAGTCTCTCAACCACCTACCTCTTGCATGGAGACACCGAATTGATCTTCTCCGCATTTTGGAAATTATAGAGACTGAGGGCTTTGTCATTAAAAGAGGAGAACTCAATGCAGCCCTTGTACATGGGGTATCTGAGAGAAGGCGGTGGCTGAGGAGAAACCAAAACAGAGAAAGGTATGAATAAACATCCATGCTAGTTAATAATTAATAATTATAGTCCTACTGTTCTTATTTCCATGCTGCTTACAGTGAAATTGTCAGGGTAGCCTCCAACGTAGAAAACAACATCATCGGGACTTAGATCCAGGAGGTTCTTGGACTCCTCTCCTATATTGCCATTCTTTATTGGCTCAGCCGTTGGGTGTGTGGTGACATCTTTGATGAGGTTAATATTTGCATCCTGGTAAATTCTAAATAGAAAGAGGGTAATAAATATCAACACTTTCATCATGTTAACAACATTCCCATTCTTTAAGTTTCCATTAGTGGATAAGAGTGAAAATGAAAATGATACACACAACACTGAAATAAAGAAAGAATGGAGCCATCAGTTTACCTCCGTAGGTCCACTTTATCGAACAGGGACGTCTCAGACGAAGACATGGTGATGGAATCCGTTTTGATCTCGTACTCGACTCCATTGAGCTTGTACACACCGTACAGCACGTTGTTTCTCAGAACCATACCTATGTAGTTCTTTGAGGACTACAAGACACAGTTTGTTAATGATTTGTGTGCAATGACAAACTAAATCTTCATATCCAAGCATTTACATGCATTTAGAGTCACTTACATCTTTGTTGCCGAGGTACATCACAAACATGTCTCCATTGTCTCTGGCCTGTCTGCGTCTGCGTCTTCCATCTCCCCTGTTCGGTATTTCAGGTCTCTGCAGCAGCAGAGAGAGGGCTGTGTAGGCCTTCAGATCCTCCAGATTCTTTGGTGGACGCAGCTCCACATGGCCATCGCCTGAGAACTTCATCGGGATCACAATCTGGCGAAAAGAAATTTTTAAAAAAAGGGAAATTAGACACGTCAAGGAAAAATAGGGGAAAAGATGGTTGGATTTGGGCTTAGTTAATGTCTAGATGTATTTACAGAGTGGGACCTCACCCTGTTAGCTGCATCCCGGGCTTCTTCAATGAGATCTTTGATCTTCTTGATGTTCTCTGTTATGTTGCTAATGGGGGAGAACTGCGAGGTCAGGTTCTCCACCTCTGAGATCTTATCGTTCAGTGATGGGATGGTTTTCAACAAGTTCTTCACTGCATGTAGAAGGTAAGAAGGAGAAAACAAATTGTAATGTGTATAAAATGCAGCATTTTATGATATAAAAAAGTGGTTATACTGTACCATGAAGTACACAATAAGAGAAAAAAGTATTGCCTAAGGACATCTGTTCAAAATCTCACCTGACTGATCCACATCATCCAAAACACTGCTCAGGTTGGAATCCACTGGAGAGACATTGATCTTGTCAATTTCCTTTCTGATGGCATTCAGTTTGTCCATGGTGTCACCGGCCGTGTCATTGGCTGAAGCTGCCGACTTCTTGGCTTCATCAATCATATTACCAATATCATCTGATTTGAAGAGAAATGAAGAGGGAACATGAACTCTGGAAATTCAGACACAATCAGTTGAATGGTCATGCTAATCTTATAATGCCTTGACTTGTTCTACCTCTTTTGATGTCATTTATTTGGTTCTGTGCATCAAGCAGGTCTTTCTCAAGAGCTTTCTTCTTCTTGTCAGCGTTGTCCAGACGTTTTTTTAGGGCAGTAACTTCGTTTGCAGAGCCTATTAAAGAAACACACAAATTAATGACTGTGCTTTTTTGTACTTTTTTAAAAACAACACATTAATGCTAGGGCTGATTTACCTTTAAGGTCTTTATTTGCATCCTTTGCATTCTGCAGTAGGTCCTCACTGGTCTCTTTCAGGTCTTTTGCTCTTTCTGTCAGCTTCTGGTTTTTTACACTCTAAAAGGAAGAAAAAACAATTTGGTTAAAGTAAAACAATATTCTAGAAGGTTATTCAAATTTCAATCCAATACTTGATGAATTGTATATTATTCCAAGAAGTGCGTACAGTTACTCAATGTTTAACGTATCAAGTCTGTGGCTTACATTCAAGGCGTTGTCTGCGGCACCTTTGGCATCATTAGCTGCAACCTCAGCAGCGTTAATTGCATCTGTGATGTTCTTGTAGGCATCAATAGCGTCTTTGGCATTACGCACCTCAGTGCGTCCACTTGCGTTCTTCACAGTACTGCAATAGACAATAACAAGAGGAGAAAATAAACCCAAGACACATGGAGAATGAATGGACAAAACATAAGCAACGAAATCTTCCACAGCACAAACAACAGACAACGTTCCGCTGAAAAGGGATCATTAGATCTCAGGTTATAATGACAGTGTGCCTTTATTGAGTGCACAAAAGACCTACTCCTCAAGGTCCTTTGCCAGCTTGTTGAGTTCCTTAGCATGTTGCTCTGCAGCCACCACAATGTCCTCTTTGGCTGCCGCCTTGGAAATCTCATTCACCTTCTTGGTCAAGTCAGTCTTGGCACCATCCAGCTGTGCTGCCAGCTGTTCATATTCCTATAGAGGAGAGAGGCAGGCGAATGGGTGCAAAGTTACTCATAAGAGCAGGAATTGAATTTAACTCAGGTCATATGGAGCAAACATACAGATCATTATCAGAGTAGACAGCATGTGAGGGCTCGCTGGTGCATGATCAGATATAAGGCCGTTAGCTACAGTGTTTTAAAATGTTTTTCTCACACTGAGAAGCAAGAAAACACAAGATAAGTGTACAGAGAATATTTGAGGTAAAGAACATGCAGGCTATAGTTTGTCAAGAGTACCATTTTGCTCTTGGATAGCATTTTCCCCAAATCCTCTGTTTTCTTCAGCTCATCTTTTGCCATGGCCATTTGGTCCTCGACAGTCTTCTGCTCCTTTTTTAAGTTTTCGAAACGTTCCTGTAGGGAGCACATTAGTCAATCTAGAGTACAACTGTGTAACAACTATGCATGGCAATAATAACCTTAATGTATAATAGCACTTTTATGTTATAAACCACTTTCATCATTTATGTGCTGAAAAGCAAAATCTTAAATATTCATATGATCCTCATTACTATTTCTTTCCTTACTAACTATTAACCAACAAGCGCACATGTTTCTCATAACTGATTAACTACTTGACTTGCAAGTTAATACCTGGAGATCTTTCAGTCCCTGAGCATTGAGTCCGTTCTGGGTGTTAGCTTTTTTCACCAAGTTCATCGCCTCCTTCAGAGCCTCGTCCAGGTCCTTCAGCTTGTCCTCGTAATCTTTGAGAAGGCCCCGAATCTTCTCTGCTGCGGCCTCATTCTGCTCCAACTGCTTACTTACATTAGCCTTGATGTAGTCCAGCACTATAAAACAGAATAGAATAGTTGTATGTGAAAATGTTATGACCAGTCTGCAGTGAGGTTTTTCAGCTTTGATAATGCAATTTTTTTTTAGTATGGACTAAGTATCTTACGTTTTTTGGCCTCATCTTTTTCTTCATCAGCAGCTGTCTTCTGAGGGGTAAAGTTCCTGTTCTCCATCTCCTTCACCATGCGCTGAGCATCTTCTAGCATTTTAGCCAGATTTTCATTGGGCGTCACAGTGGTGCCTTCGTCCTTCAGTTGGTCCAGCAGAGCTTCAAACACGCAAAAACACACACTCAGTCAAGCAAATGTTTAGGCTAATAGTCAATGCCATCCAACAATATTTGAGACTATTATACTACCTATAAAGATAAAGTCCTTATGCCGATGAACCAAATATGAATGCAAAAAAACAGAAGAAAGTAGGAGAAACACAGAGCTCTGCTGCTGATTTGAAGTTTCCCTTTACCTAGGATTTTCTTAAGAACGGTTTGAATCTCTGAGTCCAGATCTTTAGCCCGCTTGTGTGTTTTTTCAATATTTGCCACTGCCTCGTCAGCATCAACAGCCCTTTTATCCGCCTAAATAAAAATACAGACCAACAATGCACATTTACACACATTTTCACACTTATTATTGCATATTGAATATTAATATTATAATACAATGCTAGGCCTTGTCTCCTGCACTCTACCATGTCTTTGAGGGAGCTGATGTCATCTGAGAGATTGTCTGTGTCTTCGTCCAGCTGGTTGACTTTGGACTTTTGGGTGTTGATCATGGAGCTGAATCTGTTGACAAGAATCTGCAAAAAGCACAGTAACAGAAATGTAAATCAAAGCAAATTCAGATGCTGTAGGTGGTGTGCCAAAGCTTGAAGCTAATAGGGGCTGTTTTCAAATGGTGATGTGGGAATTATTCACTTGTGTGTCATGAATGCACAAAGGCTGCACACTCAGACAAAGTGGATGTAACAACTGAGATTACGAGGGAATGAGAAACGACGGGTCGCTGTGACAAACACTGGCATCCAGTGGTGTGGTCTCTAACTTGTGTCGACACACAGGCTGTGGAACAAAATTAACTGAGATTGCTTATCAGCAGGAATCCCAAATGTTTGAACAAGCACACCCATCCTGTGCCACACTGTTTGTGTGTACGTGTGAGTGTGTACTGTATGTGCAGGAAACGGATGTCCAAAGTGCAAATATAAAAAACAACAACAAAGGATCTCATTGTTCTTGTGACCATTAATTTGTGTCTACACTGAATCTATGACATTCAAATATCTTTAATTGCTCATCACCTCGTCTTCAACCCTATATGCAGCTATCAGAGTTACACTGCAGGGGAACAATACACTGACATCTTACCTTGGTCTCTGACATGGCCTTTTCCAGCTTCTTCAGCCTGTCCTGAAAGGAAGCACCGACAGTGGCATTGTCCAGCTGAGCCTTGATCCTTCCCAGCTCGTCATCCAGCTTCTCCAGACCATTTAGTAAAGTCTGGGCACAATTATCACACTCTGGAATAAAACAAAAGAGGATTGGATTAGCAAAGGGTCATAATGAGTTTATTGTAAACTGCATGTCAGACGTCAGTTCTTTTTTGGTTTTTGTTGTTCATTCACCTTGGCAGTGCTCATCGGTGTTTGTGTCTCCCGGCTCCAGAGTGTTCTTGCAAACTGGAGAAACAGTACATTTAAATTAAATTTATGATGATGTATATAATTTAAAAACAGTATTATTGAACTGAACTAATTAAATATTGGATTCATGCATTGTTGAGTCCACAATCTAACCTCCAGTCCTGGGATCACAGTTGTTACCATTGCCATTGCAATTACAGGGCTGACAACTTCCTCCTGGTCTCAGTGGATCACCATAGTAACCAGGAGAACAGCTACGGGAGATATAAATAAGACAGAATTAGTGGCAAGATAGAAATAAGCCGACACTATTTTAACACTCTTATTTTCGATTTTCTTTATACAGTATGTTGTTGATTCTGATTCTGATTATTTGGCCCGTTAAACTGATCTGTCCACACACTCACCTCTCACACTTGTCTCCAGTGTAGCCGGCTCTGCATATACACTGGAAGTCTCCAAAGACCTCTCTGCAACCTATTGCAAAACTGCAGATGATAGAAGGAGCATGATTTAACTCTTGAAATACACATTTCCATTTAATTATACTACAGATGTTTGAAAGGTGTTTTGTTTGTTTCCACCCACCTGTTTGTGGGCACACTGAATGGGCATGGGCATACTCTGCATGTCCTTTGAGCCGCGTTTCCATAGTAACCCTCTTTGCAGCTTTCACATCGATCACCAGCTGTGTTGTACTTACAGTTCTGAAAATGACATAATGTGTCCATTAAACTACTTGCAAACTGTATGTGAAGATCGAAGGGTGTGAAACAAAGCAAAATGCCAGATGGACAATGTGTTAAAGAACAAAGTACTGTGTGTGTGCACTGCAGCCGTTTACACACATGCTATACTAACACAACCAAACATGTAGTCTTTCACTACACTGAAGCAGGAATGCAAACATCTGGGAGCAAATAGAGAAGACTTTTCCTTGCCAATCAATCAAAGACTGTGCACTCTGTACAGAAAGTGTGTTCAGCCGCTTGTGTCCATTTGGCTTTGAGCTGCTAGGGTGTGGATCCATGCAGACATTGCACACACAGGCCCGGTCTTGAGTGTCTTGCATAACAATAACACAACAGAGACGACTGAGATTTTGTAAAGCATAAAGGGTCCCATAAAGGAGAATAATAAGGGAGATGGGGCCCATAACGGAAAATCAGAAGGTCATATCAAACTATGTTTCTGATGTGGTGATATAAAAGCAAAAAAGAGGTGGGCCCACAGATGTACCCTGAGGGTGTAGACTGTGATTAAGCTTTAGCCCGCACTGGAGGCTCCTGGGATGAGGTCATCATTTTTGGTTTTAGCTGTGTGTGGGTATCTGTACTGTATACCTGTGGCCGTTAATAAGAGTTAATGGTTGAGTGTTTCTTACCAGGCACTTCCCTGTCTTCTCTTCACACTCATCAGACAAACCGTTGCACTCGCAGGGCATACAGCGGCCCAGGAAAGGCCCACTGCTATCTCTGTAGTAACCAGGAGCACATTTCTGGAAAAGAAAAACATAAATATAAAGACATGACTGTTTACAAGTATAACTCATATACCCAGACATTCCACTGTATGAGTACATCTGAAATCGGAAATAAACTTATCGTTATTAGAACAATTATGATACAAGGAGTGGGCAATATATCAATATAATGTTGCCTTTATTACAATATACTTAAACATAAAATCTGCTATCATGGTAAATGTGATTTTATATCATGGTAAAGTATGTTTTCTGGAAATTACAACTGTGAAATGTTTTATAGATTCAATAACGAAAGACGAGTGCCTGTTTTTGGCTAATTCAGTGGATTAAATTCTTAAATAATTTAAATTGTTTCGCCACAATAATTTACAAATCCTGTAAATTGGTTAAAAGCAGTCTAACTACAATTATTAACAGTAAAGGTGTAAATAACTCTCTCATAAACCTCTGCTTGCTGACAAATTTCTATCCTCTTAGGTTATATATTATCACATTGCCCGAGGTTAAATTATATCATGTACAAATGTATAACACAATACCAATTATCACAGCAGGTTAGCAGAGAGGGTAAACTTATAAACAGTAAACAGAGAATTTGTTTTATTTTGCCTAAACATAGCAGTGTTTCCAGAATGTTTTGCCACCATTCACAGAGGATGATTAAAAGCTACTCTTCCAGACACCAAATAAAACAAACTTGGTTTGGTTTGTCAGGAAGTGTGAGAATTTGCAAAGGACACAAAGCAACGAACTTGACCTGACTTGAGTGTCATTAACAGTTAACTGAAGAGTCGAAGCATGCCCTTTGCCTTCAGAGATAACAGTCTTCAAGTCACCAACAATCGACACCTGTGGCGTTGAGAAGTTTAACCTACAGCCAAGATAAAACAGCGTCCTTTCAACAATCAAATACATCACATCTTCACAGATTTTACCTTAATCTGAGAACTGGCAGCACTGTCATTAACAGAAGGATAGTGAACTGTCTGTCCACTGTCATGTACCGAGGGGTAGCGCACCTCCTGGGTACCTTCGTCATTAACTGATGGATACTCTATCTGCTGAGTTCCTTGGTCGTGGAGTGAAGGGTACTGTATCCTCTGAGCCCATCTATCATGATGCCTCGTGTGGCGGGTTCGCTCCCCTCTGTCGAAGGGCCTGTGGCCAGCGCAGCAAAGTCCAATCAAAGTCCAACATAGCAGGGTCTGTAGCAAAACCCCTTTACACCGCCACCTATCCATACACGTATGTGACATTCCTAACGTTAAGTCTGTGTGAAATAATGCTCCACTCTCCCCTGCCTCAGCCTCTTAAGCACAAACACTCAGACACACACACACGTAACAAAGAGGACACGCCCCATCTCCTACCTGAGTCAGTCTTGCAGATCAGCATGAGTGTATGCATGTGCACAAGCACACACATGCAAATATTTCCATGCCCTCTCTCATCTGTTCTCTCTCTTTCACACGCACAGGCACACACACACACACACGACACTGCTTGAGACACATTCAGAAAGTCAAATGTGTGTGTAAACACAGGAAATCCATGTTTATAATTTGTGAATAGAGAAAAAGAAAATCACAGTATTGTAAATGCTGCTGTGTTTACTTAAAGCTGCAGGGTGTGGTGATAAAGCCTCTACTTGAAAAAGCAAGTAAAACATTAGAAAGTACTAAAGTATATTAATGTGTGTGCTTGTGTGTGTGT